GGGAGGTGATCCCTGTTGTAGGGACTTGTGGGTGGTGGGAATCGACCCTCTTTAACCGCTTCACACCCAATACTGGGCAGACTAGCCTCATACAAGTAACTTCAACTCTAAGGGGTCACACAAATGTCAACTTTATTGCTATTTATTATTGTAAAAAAATCATTAACCCTATCGCTTTCTGTTTTGTTTCCCCTCCAGACTCACCTCGATATCCTGGAAAAAAGCGTGAACCCCCGAGAGGTTTACTTCCGGCAGGAGGCTCTCTGCCAGACGCTGGGAGGGAACTCGTGTCCGCTGGTGACCATCACGGCCATGCCCGAGTCGGCCAGCGCTGACCACCTGGAGCAGTTCCGTGAGTACAAGACGGGCCCCTCCAGTGCCGCCGCCACTGAACGATCATTTATTTAAGAAAGTGCGTGTGTGGGAGTCTGTGCTTTGCAGGTTGAGTTTCGAAGTAGGGGCTGAGCAGAACCCCAACGTCCAGTCAGGACGTGGACCTGCCTGAGCCTTTGCATTTGTGTGGATGCTGACATTGCTGCTTCTGTTGATGTTACAACTAGAGAACATTCTGACTTTAAGATGAAGACTGGAGACGTGGTTAAAGGCCCCTGAGTAGTTGGGCACACGAGGAAATCGTTCATTTAGGAAAAGAGGGAGCAAGGTCCCTTAGCACAGCTTCCGAAGGACACTGGTTTCCGCTTCCTCTGCGAGACTAGTTATCGCAGACGCACACTCTCACGCATCAGGGCCGTTTCCTCTCTTAAACTCGTGATCGTGTGCCAGCTGTTCGTCTCAGGGGGTATCCTGGCCGGAGCGGAGAGGCCCGTTTGATGGTTAGATGAACGCTGTTCGTTTTCTTTCTGATGTGATAGCTGCACAAGGGCCCCCAAGGAGCTGGGTCAGAGGAGCCCGGGGCTCTGGGCTCTCGGGAGAAAGGACTGACCAGGCCGTCGCCATGGGTGTGGCCGCCGGGCAGCTGCAAGGCCCTGTGCTTAGAAGGGCCTTGCCCTTTGTCCGGTGCTCTTCTCTCACCATCCCGAAAATCTTTAAAACGCTTGGAACAATGAGGCCTGTAGTTTGTAGAGCTGGGCCTGGGACTGACCAAAGGTCATAGAGCTGAAAAGTGACCATGGCGAACACCCCTCCCCGCTGTCCGTCGGTGTTTCCTGGTCGTGCAGGACGCGTTCGGTCTGCTTTGCCGGATCGCTGGGGAAGCTGTTTGTATGCGCGAGGAGGCCGGGTGTCCCTACTCAGCAGCATAGGTGCCTGGCATCGCGGCTCGGGCCGCCTTCTGTGGGCGAACCCCCCCCCCGCCTGCTCTGCACCCTGACGCTGTGGGAAGGCAGCTCAGCTGCTCACTGAATTGACCACAGATAAATGTGTGACCTCTCCCCGCTCACGGTGAACTTCATTTTCCTTTCCTAACCCAGTGGACGCGTCTTCACGGCGGATGTTTCAGGCACTGCGGCAGCAGGGAAGGGGGAGAGGACACGTAGGCCCTCAGGTCCCGGCACAGAGCCGAGGCTGCGTGGCCGGGGCGCCCGGAGCGTCGTCTCAGACGGGCCGCGAGTAACGCTTCGCTCTGCCGGTGGCGAAATGCGTGTGCGTGAACACACGCCGTCGCTGTGCTTCTAAAAGAAAAAACCCAAAACCCCAGCACAATATAAACAGCGCTCACCCTCGGAAACGCAATTAGCTGTGCCTGCGAATCCGAAATAAAACCACTTAACTTCCCGTGAACCACAAAATGTCCTGCATCGATTTAGGACAGCAAGTGAGCCAGCGGCTCCAGGCTCGCCTCCCCCCAGGCGAACGCCAGTCGTCGTACCTGCTGCCTTCCTCCAGGGGCCTTGGTCGGGTTGGGGTTGGGGTTGTGCTGAGCTGTGACTCGGCTACTTTCCGGTTCAGTGGGGGCCACGCACCCCTCACAAGGAGGCCCTGTCGCTGAAGGACTCCCCCGCTGCGTGGGATGACCACTTGCAGCCTTACTTTGGAAATCCAAGAAACGAGGGCAGGGCTGGGCTGCCTGGCTGGGTGGCTCAGGCGGTCGGAGCGTCCCCCCCATTCACCGGGAGGTCACTGGTTCGATTCCCCGTCAGGGCACATGCTCAGGTTGCGGGTTCGATCCCCGGTCGGTGAACGTAGGGGAGGCAACCCCTCCATGTTTCTCCCCCCCCCTTTCCTCTCTCTCTCTGTAAAATCAATAAATAAGATCCTTTTACCTTTTCTGTGTTAATAGGTACTTTGATTAACAGGCCTGTTGAACCTGCATCTGCCAGGCAGAGGGCTGACCGGTCACACGTCCTTCAGAGGTGGGGTGTGTGCGCAATGCGGTGTTTGGGTTCCAACTGAGCGGAGGTGCTGAATTTCAGCAGAACCGAGAGCAAGGCGGAGCGTCCAGAAAGTCCTGCGGGGGGCGGGTCACCGTTCACTCAGACCCGAGTGGAAGTGGGCGAGAAACCCGGAGAGGGCGATGTTTCCGCTTTTGCCAAGACCCAGCCGTTCCCTGAACCCTGCCTGCTCCCGGATTCTTGCCTCTGGCGTCACCGGACGTCCTACACTTGTCTTTTTCCCGTTTGCAGATGCAAAGTTAAGGCTCCCTGGGGGTCAGGAACCAGCTGAGGCCACAGGAGCAGAAAGTGGGTGCTCAGGGAGGAGCCCACGGTGCGATTCAGGATATCCCCCCTCCTCTAGGCTCCGCCACCCCTGGGGAACCCCCCAGAAATGCTCTCACCCCAGACAGGCTCCCTCCTGAGGACCCCCGACCTTTTCACTCTCCATGACGGGTGCCCCGTTTTCCCCAGGAGTTTTATTGCTGACTTTTTCCCTTTGAGACAGTATCGGTATCGTCCCGCTGTCCCCGAGAGCTCGCTGGCGGGAGGGCCTGGTTTGTGGAACGCTTTCTGAGGGCGCGTGTCGGTCTCTTAGTAGAAACTCTCATCTGCCAAGTACAGGAGTCACTAACAGAGAACCAGCGAAGGTGGGAGGGAGGGGTGGGTCTCCGCGGGCATGACCTTTCTCGTCTGTGGAGGTGAGATAGTCTCCCTGCCCCCCTCCCGGGGCCACACGCTGCTCTTTCCAGGGGGCCTGGGGGGGCGGGGAGCTTGAGGCCTCATTTGCAGTAGTTAAAGAATGCCTTTTCTCTTTCCCTTTTTCTCAAAAATATTCTTACAAAAGCCTGTTCTGTTCAGCCTGCCATTACACTAAAAAGCTTTTCCTTCGAAGACAATAGCTGCTCTCAGAAAAAAAAAAAAAAAAGAGATTTACACGGGGTCCCGAGAGTGTAAGGAGCTGCCGCGGAGCACCTGCCCGGGGCTGGGAGTTGTAACTTGTAAGTGGTTTTAAATTAGAACCGGGTGGAAAAATACACAGTCACAGGACCCCCTCTTGGCTTCTCTGCACATCTTCCTGCGTCGTCTCTGGTCTCCGTCTCCCTCCGCCGCCCGGTCCGGTGGGATGGACGCGGCCTTTCCTTGGGGGTCTCGGAGTGACAGCCCTGCAGGGAAACAGACTCCAGGGAAGGCTGGAGAGTCCGGGTGTTTTTTGCCCCCCCCCGGGAATGTGGGGCCAGGTATTACTGAGGGGTGGCTACGCTTTGGAGCTGAGACGTCCATAAAGAATACGAAGGTGAGACTTTCCAGTTGCTGCCTGCGTCACCGGGCGAGTGAACGGCAGAGGTGGCTCCGGACCTCAGACGTCTTGGCTCCTGCTACAATTATGTTTTAGTTTGGTTTTGTTTTCTGTAAAGCACTGCTTCTGACAAATATTGTCACCAAAAAAAAAAAAGAACTACAAGGGCATAAAGACATCTCTCGATGGAAATTTTTAATAAAAGGAGTTGGAGTTACAGAAGCTGAACTGTGCCCCCAGTTTTTGGCCTTGGGGTTCCCTCTCTCCAGGCAGCCAGGGGTAGGCCCACCGTGGATATTAGGAACGCAGATAAATATTTAATCCTTGCCACGGAGGCATTTAGAGTCTACAGGGAGTGAGTGCGGCTGTGAAGTTCAGGTTAACAGGTCATTATAATCACGTTGTACCAGGGCCGGGGGTAGACGGAGGTCAGTGGGGGCGCAGGGACCGGAGCGTTGGCGGGCGTTCGCGGTAGAATCAGGGGCTCGTAGTCTTACGGGGGAGCTGCATAGATCCCACGGGCACGGTGGGCCTTGTAGTTGAGTAGCTTTGCTTACACCCTATCACGGATTTTACTCTCACAGAGTTTTTACATCATATGATTTGGTCCTCAGAGGTCCCTTGCGAGTCGATGAAGAAAATAATTATCGTTTTATAATAACGCTGAGATCCAGCGCCGGTTCACCCACATTTTGAAGTCAGACTGCCACGTGCAGAGATACGGGGGCGGGGGTGTCTTTTCAAGCAGAAAAACAGCCTTTGCAGACGCAGGAGGGCTGGACGTGAGGCTGTGAAAGCCTCAGGTGCCAGGTCTGCCGGGGGAGGGAGGGTTGACTGAGGGGTCGGACGATAGGGAGGGGCAGGGACTTTGGGCTGAGTGATAAAGGATCTTGTTTTTCTCATTAGAAGTTTCCCCTGAAGGCGGCGATGAGCTAATAGGATGTTATTAAAAGCAGAGGACTGACGAGCTCAGATTGGTTGTGGAGGAAGGTTCTGTGGCAGCATTGTGAAGGGAAGTCGGAGCGAGGAGAGGGTGGGGCCGCGGAGCCCAGCGCAGAGACGTCCTGAGGTGCGTCGGCCCTCGATTCGGACTCACTGGGGTTCTCACCTTGGAAAAGATACGTAAGCACCCAGTGCTTGGGTTTCCCCATTGATAAGTTGTGTAGAATATTAGTGCCTTCTGCACAGGGGCAATCTCAGGAGCGTCCAGGCCTTAGAAGAGTGCCTGGCCCATCGTGAGTGTTTCGGATATAACAGCCGCTATCAGCCACCTGTGTGGGTGATGAGACTCCCAGGAAGGTAAGTTTGTGGAAGTGGGAGGGAAAGGCCCAGATGGGGGAGACGCGTCTGCGTTAGAAGCGAGAGATCCTGGTGGTGGATCGGGAGTCAGGGATAAAGGGTGAGCAGCTGAACCAGTTGTACTTTGGGTGATGGGCGCCCATTGTATTTTATTTTTTAAAATACATTTTTATTGATTTCGGAGAGAGGAAGGGAGAGGGAGAGAGAGAAACATCAATGATGAGAGTCATGGATCGGCTGCTTCCAGCAGGGGTCGAGCCCAAAACCCGAGCATGGGCCCCTGATTGGGAATCGAACCCCGATGTCCCGGATCCTGGGTCAACGCTCAGCCGCTGAGCCACACCGGCCGGGCAGGGCACCCATTTTAATGCCCACAGAGGGAACTATGAGGGTATAAGACTGTTGTGGAGGAATGCGTTCAGT